TCCACTGCAGTGTGGGATTAAACACCAGATGCTCTTGTAGTCAAACCTGTATCAGTCTGTGTGTGTGCGTGGCGGGGGTGGGGTGGGGTGGGGCTGGGAGCACCTGACAGGCTGTCCTCAGGGTGCTCCCAGGCACCTCAGAGCTGGAGGAGGAATCTGAGGGGTGGAGGGTTTCCAAGTTGCAGAATGTTCTCTTTACAACTGAGGGTGACCAGCAGAGAATTAGAACCGGGTGCCAAGGACTTACTCCTCCACACGTTAGGTGTGTGACCTTGGCCCGAGTGACTTCTCTTTGAGCCTCACTTTTTGTCATCTGCAAAATGGGACTAATTTTCCCCTCCTGGGAAATGGGTTACACATGTAAAAGGCAGTCTCCTCTTGGGCTCTTTCAGCATGTGGCAGAAAATCAACTCAGATCACCTTACACCCTTACACACGACAGACACACACACACACACACACACACACACACACACGGAAGATAAGGTAGAGCAGGATTCAGGACTCAAATGAAATGAATGTTCTGATGGCTCCATTCCGCGCAGGCTCCCCCTTCTGGAGGAGAAAAATGGCTGTGGTAACTCAGAGGACTCCAGAGGTCCCTTTCCCAGGGGCCCACGCAGAGGCAGCCCCAGTTGAATCACACGGCCTGACATTGGGGGTGTGGGTGGGGAGAGAATGTAGCATTACTTAAGGTAATATCAAAGTGCTGGCTTCTGGTAGGTAGAATGGAGTTCTACCTGCCAGAAGGGCTGACATGCTCACTAAATGGGGCTTAATATTACCAAGCAATGAGTGACAATTCGGTTTTCTCACTCCGCTTACTGCCATCCCAGTGGCTCTTCCTAGAGCACTTCCCCACTTGGCATCCTGCTGAGCATTTCATGGAGCACAATTGCAAGCTAGACATATTTATGCATTTCCTCCCTTTCCAGGATGAACATGGCACTGCCCAAAGGGGCAGCTGTGGGAACTGCGAGCTAGTTCAAACATGTGAAGCCTGCAGCACAGGGCCCATCACGAACCCCCAAACATAGGTAGCCAACGGGACCTGGCAACCAGGTGGCCCACTTGTGGGAGTTTTTCCTTGATTGATGCTCACATATTCTTGGTTCCTGCCCACTAAATAAAGATGGGGGAGCAAATGGCAACTAAAAATGTCCCCGTGTATTTCCAAATGCCCCCTAGGGGGTGCTACCAGCCCTGAAAACCAACAGACCTGTCATATTGCTGTGCGGATGGGGAACCACAGTTGAGTGTGCTGGCCTCCCTGGGTTTGTGTGAACATCTAGGGCCTGGGGCGGGGCTGAGTGGGACCCATGCTCCATTGCTGGCAGCAAACTGGCTTCTGAGCTTTTCTTCATCTTAAAATGTGGACTTTATAACAGCCCCACCTCACTGGGTTATTGGGCTCAGAGACAGACCCTCTCCAAGCCCATGTTCTTTCCGACCATTTTTCCTTCTCCTGTCCTCATGTGCCCAGCTCCAGCCACACTAGCAGCCTTGCTGGTCCTCCACTTCCATGGGTCTCTTTCTGGGGCTTGTCCCCATGTCTATGAGCCTGCTGCCTGGCTTCCCTCAGCTAGCCCCTCTATGAAGGTGTCCCTGACTGATGTATTAAATTTGCATACCCCCAACCCCTCTTCCCTGCTTTTTTGTTTGGTCACATCATTTACCATCATCTGACTTTTTATTTGCCCATCACCCCAGTACTCCTCGAACCTGGGTTTCTCCTTCACTGCTGGGTCTTGTTCACTATTGAGAAGTGGGTGCTCGCTCAATAGATATGTTAGACTAAATGAATTCGTTCAATAAATGTGCAATCCTAGTACTGTTTTCCCAGTGGGGGTGTCCGTGTTCCCCAACCCCCAACCGTGGGGGGCTGCAGGTAAGTGCTCTCCTCAGGTGGCCAGGTCAGGGGCCCTGCAGCTACAGGCCCACAAGCTCCCCAGGCACACAAGGACGGAGAGGCAAGGCTGGGCTGCTGGTTTATTTTGTGCTTGAGGTAGTGGGTGGTGGCAGCGGGTGGGGCACTTTGCCCCAGCTTGCCTCAGTTCTTGGAGTAACGCCTCTGCAGTGATTCCCGATAGAAGCGGAAGACGTGTTGTGAGGCAGCTTGGGCTGCAGCCAGGCACTGCTGGAGCTGGGTGGGGAGAGACTGGTCAGTACGGGGGACGTGGGGGGCATCCCTGCACCTACATGGCCTGGCTGGCCCATCTAATTTCTAGGGTCCACAAACCTACCGCTTCCCCCTTCACCTGGCCACCCTCCCCCACCCCCACTCCCAGGTGAGGCAGGCGGGGAGGGGATTATTCCAAGTGCATCTCCTTCTCTACTGTAGGACCTTTTAGAGGGGAAGTGAAGGAAAAAAGAGAAAGTGAGGGGTTCAGGGACCAGCTTCTGGCAGCTTCAAGGCCTCACATCAACGGGATCAGGCATTCTGACAGCTGGAAGAGACCGTAGCTCTGGAAACTTAGAGCTCAGCTCATGGATCTGGGGAGATCCGAGAATTTTAGAGCCACAGGCCCCGTGACACTGAATAATGCTGAGAGCCATGGAATCTGAGACCCCAAATCTGTATTGCCACAAATCCCTAGATTCTCAGGAGTCCAGATTGGAAACGCTTTTGGAGACCATTTGGCCCAACGGTTTCCAAACTCTTCAGACCTGGGATGGGGGAGGGGGGCACTGCTCTGAACTGGAAGCTGGTGGGGGCCTTCAGGTACCCCCACCTCCTGATTTCAACCTGAGCTCTTCTCCTCTTTTCCCATCTCATTAATTGGGTTTCCCCTTTAAAATTCTCAGAGGTTTCTGTGGCTACAAAGTTTACAAACTCTATTTACAGAAGGAATGCAAGGAGGGGGTTTTCCTTGAACCCCTGAGTGTAGGGCAGAGTTGGGACAACACATGGGGGGGGGGCCCTAGGGTTCACCCGCATCTGCATGCTGGTACCTCAGCATTGGAGTAGAGCCCCTTGGTGGTGGACATGAGCAGCTTCTGGTCCACACTGTCGAGTGCAAAGGTCAGGACTGCCCGGGCCTCCTAGGGATGAGGGAAGAGGGTGAGGGACCTGGATCTCCCCTCAGACACACTCTCAGCAGATCCCAAGAAGAGACTCGCCTTCCCTGCAGGCAGGTGCTCTTGCATGGAGTGTGGCTGTCTGTCTATATACTATCCCTCCTGGCTTCCTGCCTTTCCTCTGGATCTACACCTGCTTCCATCCACATGGTCCTGACAGGCTTCCAAGCAGTATCCCTGCCTGTAGGGTGGTCACAGCGCACGTCATTTACCAGCGTCTCCTAGCTTCTCTGCTGGGAGACTGGCAGGAGGGACAGCATCCGGGTCCTTACTGATAGTGGCAGGTGCTGTGGTAGTGGCAGCTGCCACAGTCATGGGGGTGCGACAGGTTCTGGACTTCTGTGGCCAGTGCAAAGCCAGGATGTCTGTGCACCTAGAACTGGCTGCAGTGATGCCTTTAACAGCTTAAGTCAGTGGTTCTCAACCTTCTGGCCCTTTAAATACAGTTCCTCATGTTGTGACCCAACCATAAAATTACTTTCGTTGCTACTTCATAACTGTAATGTTGCTACTGTTATGAATCGTAATGTAAATATCTGATATGCAGGATGGTCTTAGGAGACCCCTGTGAAAGGGTCGTTCGACCGCCAAAGGGGTCGCGACCCACAGGTTGAGAACCGCTGGCTTAAGTGCAAATTGGCTACAGGCTCCTGATCTCTGGGTGACCTTCCTTCTTCCTTTTTGCTCCTTCAGCTCTTCCAACACTGTTGTAACCAGTTCCCTGCATTAAACTCTCCGTGGGAAATCCTCCAGGTGGTTTCTGCTTCCCTGACTGGATGTGACTGGGCAAATAACTCAAAGTAACCACAGCCCTGGGGCACCGTGAACTTGAGCCGATGAGGAACGCTCCCTCCTCCTCTGCTTCTGAGCCTCTTAAGATGTAAGCACAGAGCTTAAGGGGCCAGTTGCAGCCTCAGGAGCGATGCTGGCCAGAGAATGGATCTGATATGCAGAAAAGAGCAGTCTAACAAAGGAAGGAAATCCTGATGGCGTTTGAGGCCCTGGCTCTGGCTCAATCTCTGTTCTGAGTTTGGCATCGAATGTCAATAAATTCCCTTTTTGCTCAAGCAGTTTGAGTTGGGTTTCTTGCACTTCCCTGATGAGCAAAGCAGACCTTGCTAGTTGGGACTGAGCTGGTAGCCAACTGCTGTAGAGAAGCATGGTCTAGAGAAGCCCTCTCCTGGCAGTGAGGCCTGGAGCCCAGGACAATGGTAGGCAGCCAGCCAGCCGCCACCATGACAGCCCTTCACCACCCTGGCCTTCATACCTACCTTTTCTTGCTTGGCTGTGGGGTCCAGCACGAGAGTCCCATCAGAGTCCAGGGCACAGGTGACCCCACAGAAGAGGGCTTGCATGGGCACACCTGCGTCGACCAATGCCATGCAGGTGGCGTTCAGGCAACAGGCCATGAGCTGAGTGCCACAGGGAGTGGTTAAGAGTTTCTACTGCAGGTCTGGCCAGCAGAGTGTGTCCTCGCCTCCACCCCCAGCCAGTGCTGTGGCTGCATCACTAACTGGTCACAGGAAGGCAGTTTGGCAGAGTTCCAAGTGGTTCCTTGGGTTCCAGAACTGACTTTGTGACCTTGAGCAAGTGACTTACTCTCTCTGAGCCTCAATCAGGGATCATGATATTCACCAGTTATGTAATGGCATGTGCCAAGCACCTGTAGGGAAACTGAGTGCAGAGAGGGGGAGAAACCTTCCAGATTGCATGGGAGGTATTGGCAGAGCCAGACCTGGAGCCTGGGAATCTGGCAGGCGGCCGCCACCATGACAGACTGGCAGGGACATGGAGGGAGGAGTCA